GTAAGGCTATACAAGGACTTTTATCTATTTTCATATTCATTATAATTTCTATTTCTCTAAATACTTTCTCCCAAAAATTATTTACATATTTACATTGCCACCACATTCCTGAATTGCGCATTCAGAGTAGTTACACATCTGCAAATGATGTTAAACTTCTCAGTAACACCTAGACAAAACTGATTGCCTCTGACAGATTACAAAATAATGACGTGCAAATTGAGATAGAGAAAGCCAATGACTCACTCTATCCCCTTCCTTATTACAAAGGTGGACAATATGCTGAGGGCAAGGGCAATCCAACACAAAGTCAAGTGACAAAACTGGGCCACAATAACTACTTAGGCCATTTCCGCAATTGAATACAGTAGCAGCCGCTAGAACTTGGCATTCAGCTCACTGGACAGCAGGCTTCAGAGGTAGGTTATTAGATCACTGGTCTCCATTTATGAACTATCACTGGGGGGTATCTATGACGCACACAGCCAAGTGAGTTTCCTCTGTATAGCTTTCAGTCTTAATCAGTGCGTGTGTTCCAATTCCTGCAGTCAAATGCTGTGTTGACAAAACTCAGTCTAAACACTCTAAGCACTGTTGGGTTGTTCATGTTGTGGAGTTTAGAGGGAATAATGGGGTCTCCGGGTCTCCTGGCAGCATGCCCTGGGAAGTAGCCAACTTATTTCAATTATACATTTCGGATGTTTACAAGAGACAGAACAAAGCCAAGATTTGAATTGCCTCACTTGTTCTAATAAATTGGTCTGAGGTAGATACACCTCAAAGACCTTTGGGATTCTATTGTTTGCTCCAAGTTGGGGAGAGGGTCACAAGATTCCATCACTTCAAGAATGTTTGGGGGGGGGGTGGATAGGATTTCTTGGGTATATATACACCTAGGTGTTGCTGCTGAGAAGTATCTGGAAAGTCGACATTCAGAAATTATCACCAATATCGAGCCATACTAAGGGCATAATGAAGTCTACAGTTATGTTCCTCCTAGTTTTTCTGGCTGTCTTGTGCTGCTGCTTTTCCTCAGGTGGGTATATACTTAATTTACAATAACAACTTGAGCACTGGGAAATAATTTGGGAATTACAAGTCCCAGAATAATCTAGTGGCTATACTGGATTAGGATTCTTGGAGTTATAGTCAGTCAAACAGTAATTTTTCAGGCTCAAGCACCCAGTACCGCCTTGGCTCTCATACATACAGCTCTTTTAGCATTGTGCATCTTAATATGGGTTGTTAATTTTATTCTGTATATGTTTTAGGATGTCACTAAAAGGGCAAAATTGACCTATAGGCACAAGAGAGGGAAGAAAAGTGAAACAGAAGGGCTGTGGAGGGGATGATAATTCTAGAAGTTCCTTTGTGTCTGATAAGGATTAATTTCTTAGTGTGAATTATTCTGTATAAGAATGTAAGCATGTCAAAATATATCTATTATAAGTGATAGGTACTTGTTCCCTCGTCTTCTTTTATTTTTAGTATATTTTGATGGCATCTTAAAGAAAATGAGGCCAGAGGTGGGAAAGGCTAAATGTTTATACCTCCAACATGTTCAAAACCTTGCAGAATTATCAGCAGAACTTATTTTTGGCTTTGTTTCATTTCTATCCCCAAAAATCTTGTATTTTCTCATTTTATAAAAAAAAAAGGGGGGGTCATTATAATCAGTGGAAGGAAGTTGGGATGGATGTCTTTTGAGATGCATCTAGGGACCTTATCAGACAACAATATTGAGAGGCATTGTTGGTTAAGCAAACAGTGGAATTGTAAGCTGATAATACCGTCCAGTCTTCACTAACTCATTTTCATTCATTCTCCTCTCTTCAGACATTTAGTGCTTTCCCATAAGCACCCGCTATCTTCCTCATCACACATAGGCAATAAGTCTTCACCTCCAGATTTTTTTCTTAATGAAAATCTGACAGAATCCCTTTCCATGGGATGCAATAATTCTGCATCCAAACTCATTGGACCCTTGAGACAGGGGTACTGTTTTAAACCATTGATTTCCATGGGATCTATAGTTCTATGACAGGGAGGGGGAAGCTGGAGTGATGACCAGAAGTCATCTGATGGCAACCATGACTCCCAGTAAATTTATGGTGGCTGCCCATAAAATGGGGAGGGGGGGGACTGTAAGTGTGATGATGTGGTAGATATCTTTGAACTGGAAGTGTGACTGGGAACCTTTTTCCTGCTTCCCTAAAAACATTCATTTTGCCCCACTTCAATTATATTCTGTGAGAATAAGTGAAATCAGAAAAGGAGATAAAATACCAAAACTCTCCCTCCAAGTTTAAGACTTCATCTGGTATCATTAGAGGTCTTGGAGGAAGAGAGCTACTCTTTCTTATGGCCCCTGAACCACATAGTGGCTTCAATTGTATTCAAAATGTATCTGAATACAATTCTCCTAAGAGCGCCAAAGCTTTCATTATGGCACTAGCCCATTCAGTGCTCAGTGGGATACATAGAAGAAATACATTATGGGAAGTTGGGAAGAGAGCCTTCCTTGCTGTGTCTCTTGGGATGACAGGTGTTCCTTTCTGGCTTGCTTGATCCAGATGTTGGCGGTCATTTCAGCACCAGATGAAAATTTAATTCTTCCTCAAAAGTTTGAAGGTTGTGAGTTTCTGTTGAGTTGTTTTTAATTAGTTTTACCACTTTTAAAAGTTGATTTATGGCTTCTACGCTACTTCCTAAACTTTCTAGATACAGGGTGGAATATGACTATTATAATAACTATAGTGACTAAAATACTAAGGAAATAAATTGTTCTAATGTTGCAGGTAAGTATCTGAAAGTGTGAGATACAGTGGCTTCTCTAAGACTTCATGACCAAAATGAAATATGAAAAAAGTAAATCAGAAGTCATAATTTGCACATGAGTAATCAAGCAAAAGATAACATCCGGGTTTTGCAAATGTTATCTTTTGGAACACAATCTCTGGAATCACATAATGGCAGGCTGAATTTTGGGAACTGTCATCCCAAGAGTAACTTTTCAATGCTCCGAAAATAAACATTAGACTAGATAGACCTCCATTCCAACTCTGTTTTTATATTTCTATGATTTGTTTAGTGAATAGTGCATCTTGAAACACTGCAACAACTATTCAGTAAAAACCACAGAAGGCTGTATGACTGACAGTCATATCAGTGTGTGCAGCTACTATGCAGTGTTTAGGAAGCAGGTGCATACAAGAATCTTTTACAGGTCACCAACATAGGAATAGTCTCTTGATTCCTTTGATTTTCAAAGACCTCTATCAAAGCCACATTGGCATCTTTAGTGTTTACCAGACATCCCCAGCCCTACCACTGTCCAGACTGGTTTTCAGGACCACACATAGCAATAGCAGTTATGCAAAAGCTGACACTGCACACACTTTGTGTACACTGACATTGTGTACAGTGGCACTTCAAGCATTTACTGAAGTGTGTTAGAAGCACAGGCAGATTGAGTCCTGTGGAGATCACTGGGCTTCTGAAGCGTTTTCTGAATACAATGGCACCAGCATCTGCTGGCATCCCTTGATAGATGATCAACTACCATTTCAGACAGGGCTGATGAATTGTTCCTATCTTGTATCTCTTCATGTTGGTTTAAGGCAGTGGTTCTCAACATTTGTCCCTCCAGTTGTTTTGGTCTTCAACTTTCACAATCCCCAACTGGCTGGGATTTCAGGGAGTTGAAATCCAAAACATCTAGAAGAGCAAATGTTGGAAACCATTGTTGTAGGTGATGGTAATGATGTGACTTTCACACTGCAGTTAATATTTTGATTATATTTACTTTTTTGTCCTTTTTATTGTAGGGATGTGTTATTCTTGTGGGCCACAGGTGAGTCCATCTGCTGCATAAACTGCCATTTCCTATTGATAATCTGGACAACTAAGAGATTCAGGAGTGAGATCACTGTGCAATAAATCAGTTAGTGAAAATGCCCAGGTTATAATTCTATGAGGAATAGAGTGCTTGAACCTAGTGTAGTTTCATGCTCATAATACAAATTTATATGACATGTTCAGAATTTGATGTTCAGAATTTAGAGGCACCTCATCTTATTGAACAGACAGGTTCATATAGGAGGAAGTGGCACTTTACATATCATGGCTTGAAATCTTAAATCTCATTGTTTGATTGTGGATTCACAAAATGTGTTCATAAAACATATCTGAAAAAATGGCAAATCCAGGAAGAACTGAGATTTGATGGGTTCTGTGGCACATTAATTTGAGGAAAGTGCAGGAGTGGGGTGTGAGAGTTGTTTAAGTTTGGCTCCCCATGGTTTCAGTTGATAGACAAATGAATGGATAAACATGGAGGGATGCTTCATATTCCTGCTCAGCTAAAGACACCCAATGGTTAACCCTGGGTAACTCTGGGCAACTCACACTCTCTCAGCCTCATAGGAAAGCAATAGTAACCTCCCCCCCCAACAAATCCTGCTAAGAAACTTGCGCTCTAGGGTTGCCATAACTTGAAGATACACAACAACAACAACCAACAATCAAATGCTCTAGCAAGATATTAGAACTAGGTCCATCATTCATGTCCTATAATGTGAATGTTTCAGTTGACAGAGTCTAGACTGAATGTTAGTTTACATCATAGGTGGGAATCATGTGACCCTTCAGATGTTGTTGGACTGCAATTTTCAGAATCCTAACCCAATTTGACCAGTGGTGAGGAATGTGAGAATTGCAATTCAACTACATCTGAAGGCCATAGTCATGCTGTCAGAAGACAGTCTGAAAAGGTGTCATTCTTTGGAATAAAATGTATTGAACAGTGGGAGATTTATTTCAAGAGCTATGGGTTGTGCTGTTAAATTGATCCAAGAGTCTTCTCTAGCAAGGAAAACAACCTGTTAAAACTTTGGGCCTTATTCCCCAAAGAAGGGGAAAGAGAAGTTCTGCTACAATTCTTGGAAATAACATTAAAATGAATTATATATATATAAAAAACACCTTCCTTTTGTAGGTTGACTGCAGTGGTTACAGGAAACCTTCTGATGGATCCAAACCCAGAAGATGCACGTTGGAGTACTTCCCAATATGTGGTACCAATGGCCAAACGTACACCAACAAATGCCTCTTTTGCAGTGCAGCCATGTAAGTACAACTTATCACTTCTGAATAAGGGAACCAGAGATAACCTGCCTCTTCTAAAGAACATCCTCCCTCTAAAATGTTAAATCAGCTCCCATCCCCTCTGATCACTAGCCATTTTGGCTGAACATGATGGGACCTGGAATCCAACAACTCTTGGGTTACATTGTTGGATTTACCATTGTGCTTAAATGTGCTTAAGAACAGGGCCCCATTGGCCAGGGGTGGGGGGCATCTTCCTGCCAATTTTTTATGATGGATTTTACTTACAGTATGTGGTGCAATTCTAAATTTGAAGGGTTTTTTTTTTCCAAAGTGATTCCAGTCATTATAGGGTTGATAGTCTATGGCAAAGTGCCACAAAGCAGGTAGTGTAGGTCTACCAGGCCTACCTCCTTCAGAGTCCAAGAAAGGGGCCTCATAAATTAACTAGCACAGGACCTAATTTGTCCTAAATCCAGCACTCTTGGGGTGCATTAACACTGTAGAAATAATGCAGTCTGCTGCCACATTAACTGCCATAGCTCAATGCCTTGGAATTATAGGAGTGTTTTTACAAGATCTTCAGCCTTCTCTGCCAAAGTGTGCTGGTGCTCACCAAAGTACAACTCCTAGATATCTGAAGCACTGAAACATGGTAGTTAAAGTGTTGTCAAACTGCATAAATTCTACAGTGTAGATGCACCCCTGGAGTGACACGATTTGCAGACTGGACTGAGAGATCAAGTGCAGAAGTTTGAAGAGCATAGGAAATGTCAAATTTATGTTTTTATTTATGACTCTCTGAAGCTGAGAAAGGTTCGCTTTAGGATTACCATAAGGCAGAAACAACTTGAAGGTATGCAGCAACAACAATAAAGGACATAGAAGTAGCAAAGTCTAGTGACTAGAGACTAAATTGCACTTTAGAAAGCATTTGATTCAAAGCCCACCTGTGTTGTGAAGTGACTAGATGGGTTTAGGCAATCCACTGTCTCTCACTCTGCCTACTTGGAAATATGAGGGGCAATATTACTGATTTATCCTACAGGATGATGGTAACAATGACTAGTACAGAATCATCATGAAACGAACACCTGCAAGCATGAAATAAGCATTACATATTATCTTAATTTTGTTTCCTTCTTTTCTCCCTAGGACAAGTCAAGGGAAGATCCATTTTAAGCATTATGGGAGCTGCTGAGATATTGCCTTGGGTGATCTGTGGAAAAACATACTTCATTCACCTGTCACCTCTGCCTCACTCTTCTTGCTCCACTCAAATCCAGTCTAATCCACTCAAACACTTATTCTATTCAGTTGCATCTCATCTGCTGGGTTAAAATAAAAATTCATCACTCTTATTGAACTAGCCGTCTCTTTTATCTCTTTAAAATAGTCACTGAATCAAAAATACTGATGGGTTATTTTAGATTCTGTACTTCATAGTCTTACAGGATGCAGTGGATAAATGTTTTGATAATGAAAGTCTGTCTTGTGAGGGAGAAATCATGCTGTCAGAGCATCATCCTACCATTGCTTAAGGGTCTCCAGCAGATCTACTTCAGGAAATCATTATATTACTAATTTGTAAAAGTAGCTGTCCAAAGACTATCTCATGTGCCTCAAATCTAGTAATTTCTTGAACCTCTGCTCCCAAATCCAGTGTTATCTGCAACAGTGATGTAAATCCTCAATTGTTTCATTGTCATGTGTCAGGAGGAATAATTATAGTAGTTTTCTCCCTGGTATGGAGAAAATGTGCATGCCTCTGCAGCATATTTCCAAGATTAGAACACACTACGGGCCCTTCTACACAGGTCCTAAAATGCAGAAGTCACCAGGTTAAAGGGGGGGGGAGGGGTTAAATGACGTTAGTGGTAAATCTGTGTTGATTTACAGCAACTGACAAAAAACATGTGTTAAAAAGTTGTGCTTATATCCTGATTCCGGCTAGAAAATACGCACATTTGCATCACTGTATCCCTGCAGTCATGCAAAACTGTCTCCTGTGTAGACTGCTCCAGCATTTGTGTGCTTTTTGATCAGCTGATTGGGCTGTCAAATGGACACACGGGTGGGAGTCTCAGACCAGCCATGGCTGCTTGGCGTTGCATTGCTACCCTCCTCCTGGCAGCTGCCTTGGCCACCCTTCTGGTCACTCCTTGGATTAGTAGGTGACTTGGGCCAAATTTGGTGGCAATTTGTTCAGCAGTTTTTGAGTTATGATGTCACACAAATGAACAGAACATTTATATATATATATATATATATATATATATATATATATATATATATATACATACATACATACATACATACATACATACATACATACATACACACTAGCCGTCCCCTGCTAGGCGTTGCTGTGGCCCAGTCTGGTGATTTGGAAAATAAAGTAATGAGAAAGTGTTGGTTTTGAATATGTGATGTCTTTATGCTTGTGGGTAAACAGTATTTCTTGTTGTTTCTTTGTCAGTGTTGATGTAGAGATCGTCTGGTTTGTCTGCTCTGGAACATGCAACATATAATTGTCCTTCTTTAGGGGCCCCTTTCAAATCTATACTATATCTGTCATATACATATATAAGTGTGTGTGTATCACATATATCTATCTATATCTATGGCTGGATGCTCTTTGTCAGGAAGGCTTTGATTAGGTTTTCTTGCCCTGGTGAAGGGAGTTGGACTGGATGGCCTTAAGGCAGCATTTCTCAACCTGGGGGTTGCAAGGGGGTGTCAGAAGGGTCGCCAAGACCACCAGAAAACACAGTATCTTCTGTTTGTCGGTCATGGGAGTTCTGTGTGGGAAGTTTGGCCCAATCCTATCAATGATGGGGTTCAGAATGCTCTTTGATTGTAGGTGAATTATAAATCCCAGCAGCTACAACTCCCAAATGTCAAGCTCTGTTTCCCCCCAAACTCCATCTGTATTCATATTTGGGGATATGGAGTCTTTGTGCCAAGTTTGGTCTAGATCCTTCATTGTTTGAGTTCAGAGTGCTCTCTGGATGTAGGTGAACTACAACTCCAATACTCAAGGTCAATGCCCACCAAACCGTTCTATTGTTTTCTGTTTGTCACGGGAGTCCTGGGTGCCAAGTTTGGTTCAGTTCAATCACTGGTGGAGTTCAGAATGCTCTTTGATTGTAGGTGAACTCTAAATCCCAGAAACTACAATTCCCAAATGTCAAAATCATTTTTTTGAGTGATGGTCACTCCTTGTGTTAGTAGGTGTCTTGTGGCCAAATTTGACGGCAATTTGTCCTGCAGATTTTGAACAGAGAATTTTTATATAGATCCACATGTGTGTATATACAGTCCTGTGCATAGGAGTGATATTTTTTAAAAAAAACTTCTGCTAAATGTCCCTTGTTCACCCTCCATCTTGGGGGACCCAATCCCAGGACTAACAGGTTTGTTCAGGTCCTGGGAATTTTACTTGGATGGGAGGCAGCCAGCAAATAGCAGCTATATTTCAGAGGAAGGGAATAGCAGTGACTTTTGAGTATTCCTTGCCTAAGAAAACCCTAGGAAATTTCTGGGGTTGCCATAAATTGACAGATTACCTGAAGGCACATACACATATGCATGCATACATACCCAACCACATACATAGAGGGAAGTATCTTGGACTATCACATATGCCAAAGACTGATCCCATATTTATATTGATTGGTTACCATCAGCCAATGGCTCAGGGAGAAGCAAACATCTCTGGGCCATCACTTCCAGTAGTCTTGCTTCCACAACATAGCAAACTATTTAAGTCATGTTCACTTTAGGCGGTTAAGTTTTTTGACTTGGTTCTGATTTTATAAAGCAAGTTTAATGTTCCAAGTGCTTTGCAAATTAGAAATAGCACTTTCCTTAAAGGACTGGGCAACACATCTCTGTCTCAAAGTTGATGCATCCACTTTTCACTAACATTTATAGAAAAACGCTGTTCAAATCTCTTAAAATAAAAATTACAAAACAATGTCATGTTCTTAAGCATTTTACCTTGGTGCAAATTGTGGTTTTTTGCTAATATTATATCTATTCATAAATATGGTGATGTTATCTTTAACAAAGGTGGGCAGGTGCACCCTCTAGTGTCTATAAAAACAGAACAAAAATGGTTGGGACTCAAATGTTATCTTGCTGTCATCCAAAGATAGGGACAGTAGTCCAGACTGTAAGTCAAGATTGTGGTAATATCTTCATTAGCTGATGAAAAGAGCTACCTGTCACATCAGCACTTTTAACCTGTACCCATTACATTTGGCCCGGCCCAGTTTGTGTTTAGTGTATTGTTTTATTGTTCTGTTGTTTTTGATATTGCTTTAATTGTTTTGATTTGCTTTGAGTTGTGTATTTGTTATGCTATGTTTTTGAGGCCTTGGCCTTTGTAAGCCGCATAGAGTCCTTCGGGAGATGCTAGCGGGGTACAAATAAAGTTAATAATAATAATAAGAAGAAGAAGCATAAAATGCTATGTGCCAATTTCAAAACAGATTTTTTTAAAGGTGCATCAGGATGTGAATTTTGCTGCTTTTCTTGTATTACTTTTCCTCATACTAGACATCTAAGGGCAATGTTATCTGTGTATGTTCTAATTCAATACTCAACAGACGCTTCCTCCTATTTACTTAAGATAACTTGCCAACTATGTGACTTTATATCTCACTCACTCTTTTTCCATTCATGTTTATCTTTGCCTGATAGAGAAAACTATATTTTTATAATCTTGCACAGAGAACGTTGTGCCTTTTACATTGCCCTAGTAAAGGTATTACCACAATAAGAAAGTTTAAAATGTATCCTCTATTTTTGCTGTTTCCCCCATAATGCATTAGGAAAATGCAGGCTGTGCAACTTTAGTTGTTTTGAAGTTGAGAGAAACACATTTTCCTTGAACTGAAACTATGGAATCTCAAATTGAAAGGTGATCCTAGTAATAGAAAATTGCCTTATTCAGAAATAACAAGACAGTCTTGGCATAGCTTAATGACTCCTATTTGAGACAAACAGCCTGCTTCATCAGATGGACAATGAACTGAAGTCCACAAATATGTCTTTAGAAGTGCCACTAGAATTTTTGTCTTGTAGTATAAAACAGATTAACATAACTACTGCCATCAATCTCTAAAACTGTTTGCTTCATTCAAAACAGATCAATACAATTCAAGCAAGTATTATCTATTCTAAATAACAATGGCTTTCCAGGGGTTTTTGCAAAAATGAGGTTTTACATCACCAGCTACCCTATAGCAATCCTTCTAACTGAAGTTGCCATGGAACGTATTTGGGACCTTCTGCATGAAAAGCAGATATTTTGCAACCAAGTTATAGTCCCTGTATCCACATACCAATTTTGGCCTAAATCCAAATGTTAGTTTCCCCTAAGTAGATTTGTTGAACCAGCAACAGAGTGAGAAGACTTGTGCAAATTCCATTGCTTCAGTGGATATGCTTTTCTTGGAATTAGCAAATGGGTTTACTCTTTTTTGTTGCAGAGATTGTCTATTGCCTGCTCTGTGGAAATAAATAACACATTGCTGGTTCCTTTGGCAACTGGAAGGAGTGTGTAAGCTTTGTAGCCCTGAGAGTAGTTGCCAAATTATGGATGCAGAAAGGTACAGATGAGAAATTACTCTGCAAAGTGATGTAATTTCTGCAGTGTCTGTAGAACAGCATGATGAAGCACTTCTTGATAATTCTTTATTCAGCTTTCCAGGGACAGTAAAAAAAAATAAGAACTCAGTTTTACAAAGCCTATATTGCTAAAGATTTGGAGGTGGAACTCACCCAGTTTCATCTTTATCAACCTGGAGAGCAGAAATAAATGGGGCAACTCAAGGTAAGCCAGACATATGCTCCAGAGAATACAGAGGTTTCAGAATAGCAACAGCTTTTCTCCAGTTCCTCACATTATCTCTGTCAACTCCTCTATGTAAGAGCGAAGCAGATAAAATTAGGTATCTAAATTCAGTAAAAGTATCACCAGGAGGGGACCCAACATGCTTTTAAAAGTACAGAATGAGTCTGAGACTAGCAACCTCAACTATGCAGTGAGTCTCAGCCCATTTCTAGTCCAATTCAAAAAGCTCATTTTGTGACTTTCATAGCCTGAGGACTAGACTGCTGAAAACACTATCTGCTTCTAGATGCATAAAATTGTCAATGACTGGAGAGAGCAAAGACTTTCCCTATCTCTAATAATATTTCTATGAACCTGGTAGACATCTGTGATCAACTGGGGAGGGCTTTCTCTCAGTCCCATCATCTGCTCAAGCGTGCTTGTTGGGAACACAGGAGGGCCTTTTCAGTGGCTGCTCCAACTGTGGCACTCTCTCCCAAGGGAGACCAGGATGGCCCCATCCATGCTGGCCTTCCACAAGAAGTCAAGACCTTTCTCTGCCAACAGGCATTTGTAGGATAAGAGGTACGCTGCTGGAGAAGTTATGAGATTTTGTGTTTTAAAATGCTTTTTAAATTTGTATATATTATAGTTTAACTGCATGTTAATCTAACACACACAGTAATATTTGCTTATTCTTGTATTCATTTTGTTTTAAATTGATCAAAGTGTGTAGTTGCTAGACACCGTGAGTCCCATTGGGGAGAAAGTTGAGATATAAATAAAGTAAATAAAAATAATAAATAATATATCCAAACCCGAGCTCCCCTGGGTTGTTAATAGGGTTGCTAATAGCCATCAAGTGGACTTCGACTTTAGGCAGTCCTATGAATAAGAGACTTCCAAGTCACCCTATAATATACTATCACTAAATAGCTACCTTGGGTCTCAGTTTTGAGGAAAAGATGGAATTTAAATGAATTTAATAATAAGGTAAATATTTGTATTTAAAGTACCCTTGCTGGTGGCAGGATTTTGGGTGATGTAGCCCCCCAAATAACTTTCACAAACTCTGAGTCAAATACGCTATAGTGTCCATCCACTCATCTAAAATGCTAGACTGACACTTGAAACTCCAAGGCTTTGTTTAGGTTTCAACAGCAGTAACTGTAATTCAATAGATGTAATTGCTTCAAGAACCTAAGTATGAATCCATGATAGCTACTTTCAAAAACCACTAATCACACAAAAATCACTTGCCCTTTGTAACACATAAAGCAGACTAAGGATCCACTGTTCTCACTACATGACACAGAACTAGTTTTCCAAGGAAGAGTTCAGTGGAAAAAGTGGATGGCAGTAAAATATATGTTTCATTCCCACAGTGAAGTCCTTGGCATCTCAAGGTAGGCTAGAAGATACTTTGACCTGAAGTGTCAGGTGATAACAGCTGATTGAAAAAAAATAATGTACTGGGATAGATGGTTTCAATATGAAGACAAACATACTGCACTCTTCTGATCCAATGAGAGAACGCTTTCTGTATCTTTAAGCCCACAGAACTTTTAGTGAAATTTTGGGTCTGTCTCAAGAGCTTCAAAAACTGATTCAACTTCACCTAAAAGGAAATGGAATGTCAAGGAACGGTTTTGCAATCTCTGTTGATAACAATGGAGATCTAATGAAATGTAGATAATAAATGTACTGGGGACCTCCTAATGCATCCAGTGTTTCAGAATAAGCGAGGCAGCTGTGTCTATATTGAATCACATAGGAAATAAATTACAAAGATACTAATATATTGAGGAAAAGTTTTTGACTGTTGCCAGTGAAGTCAGAACTTGGGAACCTGTGTTTAGTTTAACCATATAAAATGTATCACAGCGATTTTGAATTTATTACTCAACAGCATAAATGCCTCCACTTAGTATTGTTTCCCATCAGCTATTCTTGATTCATTTTCTTATTTCGCTACAAAAAAAGGTAGGCATTGTATGCCTTGAATCTACTAGGGGCTATAACCCATTTCCATCACTGCACCAGAAAAATCATTTTCAAACATGTGGATAAGGGGCACATTTCTTATTCTTAAAGAGGAATGGCACTCTTAGGACCCTGCAGGAAACACTATTTTGCTCTAAAATAAGACGAATGCCCCATATATCTTGTTTCTGTGTTAAAAGTCAGCCATCAGTGTTTGCAGCTGTGGGATGTAAGAACATATTTTAAGATATCAAGAAGGTATGTGGGAAGAACACATCCCTCGTTCTTAAGTACTTCAATTCCTGGAGGCTTTTGAGTTACTGAGAAGTCCACCGCAATAGCTTTACCCCGACAGAGAGTGGTAAATCAGTACTAATATTTAAAATCTGTATCGGATGAGACTTAATTCAGGACACTAGCCTGCAGTGAAGCTGGAGAAAAACCATTACTATTATTTAAAATTTGTATCAGACGAGACTTAATTCAGGACACTAGCCTGCAGTGAAGCTGGAGAAAAAGTAGAACACATTTTTTAAGAAAAGGCATTTATTATTATTATTATCATCATCATCATCATCATTAGTGCACCTGCTATATCTCCATAAGAACAATATATGCTAATCTTAATTTGAAAGAGGAACTCTGCTTTCAAATACATGAGCATTATGAGGTGGGACTGTCGGCAATGCAAGACAGTGTGCACATCACAATTCCACACTGCAGGTTAGAGCAGCACAAGTTAAGTGGTACTTTAGAACAGCAGTGAATGAATACTGTAATTAAGAGAGCTTGTATCATAACAAGATACTATTGCTCATTCTGCAAGGAACTAGCCGCTGGCTCTCGTCAGATTCAATCTTTCCTATGGTTAGAAATATTGTTGTTAAGAAGAAAAGAAATGCTTTTCAACAAAGCGTGGATGTTTTGTTTCTTTTTAAAAAATCTTCTTCCTGTCTTCTCATCACAGTTTTATCAAGATTTACACATGAAAGCATCCTTGCCCTCTAGTGGCGCTTTCCATTCTCAAAACTGTCTTGTACAACAGAAACACTTGACAGACTAATACATAATTAGACAGCTTAAACTTCATCCACTTAAATACCGTAACAGGGAAATTGTTTTAAGAACTGAAGATGCCAAAACTTGCTCCACAATAAAACATCTGGGTTTGGGCTAGGGTTTTTTGGTCTGAAACTATATTTTCTCCCCACTTCAAAAACCACATGGTCTTTATAATTTGGGGGAAACTACAGTAGTGGTACAAGTGGCATTGATTTAAATAATAATACCAGAGATAAATGCAACCAGTTTTCCTTTCTGTTATTAGCAGTGACCTTCAGGAGACAGAGAGAGACACACACACAGAGGCCTAAGGTAAACCAAAAGGAAGAAAGGTATAAGCAGTCATTCTGGTGGTTAAGTCAGTGTCCAGCACTACTTTATTCTATCTTACACAAGAGGAAAGGTCAGAGGGTCTCTATGTTCCATCTGGTTTCAGTGCCACAGATTAAAGCTACTGGCCTTGCTTCTTGGAAAGGTACCTAGAAAAAAAAAAGCAAATATTGAATACTTATAATTAATCAGATATACGCATAACCCATCACTGCCATGTTGTAGGTAGGTAAAGGTAAAGGTTTTCCCCTGACATGAAGTCCAGTCGTGTCCGACTCTGGGGCGTGATGCTCATCTAAGCTGAAGACCCGGCATTGTCCGTAGACACCTTCAAGGTCATGTGGCCAGCATGACTGCATGGAGTGCTGTTACCTTCCCGCCAGAGCGGTACCTATTGATCTACTCACATTTGTATGTTTTTGAACTGCTAGGTTGGCAGAAGCTGGGGCTGTCAACGGAAGTTCACGCTGCTCCCCGGAATCGAACCTGTGACCTTTCGATCAACAAGCTCAGCAGCTCAGCGCTTTAACCCACTGCGCCACCGGGGGCCATGTTGTACATACTCTTAAATAATTTCATTTATTTCTTAAATATTTATATGATTCAAGCTGCCCTATGTCAGTAGATGGCACTTCCCATCAGCCATTATCATTTGCTATACCAATGGATTATAAGTAGAACCATATCTTGCAGGCCTTTCCTTTCATCGGTTCTGTGATGGGTCAACTTCTATAGTACATCTTGATATTGAAAATATTAGTGCCACCAATCCCACAAAATATTGCTTTGCAGAACTCGACTGACTCAAAACTTTCAACTGATAATTAAATACCACCTTCCTGTCTCTAGCCACTAAAAAAACCTATTACAGGATTATTCCATACAGAATTTTGACTTAGTCCTAGCTTACAGCACTATAGGAGTTGAGTTAGCAAAATGGATAAATTTGGACTGAGCCTGTAGGACGCAAAGGATTCATCTTGCTAGCAACAGAAGTCTCTTTCAAGCTACAGTATGATGCTAGTGGCTCATGTTATCTTATAAATTAGGCATATCTGCAATGAAACCAGTATATTTCAGTAACAAGAAATCTAACAATGCAGAACAAGTTCACAATACAACCTTTACATGTACGGAAAACTAGAGATATATAGGGACAGTAGCTCAACTCTGAAAAAGAAATGTAATGCTATCTTCCTTCCTCCTAAGCCAAAATGCCCAGTATGCATTTTTGTCAAACTGCAGCGAAGACTGCCAAGTGAAGATTGCTAAGCCACCAACAGTGCCTGTAGTTGGGAGAATTCAGAGTACAGGTTTCTCTAGCCTACATCAGCATAAAACATACACCCTGCTCAGTATTGGGTTTTAGCAAGGTCACTTGGATTACTTGTTTTATATGTACAGAAGCCCTGGCGGCACGCATATAAGGTACTGCAGTTTTATGATGACCCCACTCTGTAATGGGAATGACCCCAAATAAAAATCTCCTCCCACATTTCAAATTTTGACACAGAGGTAACTTAAAACATCAGTTGACCATTTAGAAATACAGATGAGGAATCCAAACAAAAGGAGTAGGCACAATCACCCAGGGAGTGCAGACACTGCAGATATTGATGATTCTGGGGGGAAAGAAGATTTCACATACTTCTTATTTGGGGAGGCAATGCCCTTGGTTTGCCCCTCTCCCAATAGATACACCATCAAGTTCTGCTTTTTCTCCCAGATTGGGATTCAGCGTGGTACACATAATTAAAACCGCAGCTTATAAAAAGAAAACAAAAAAGCTAAAACACAAGTAAAGAAGGTATTGCATTAAAACACTATATGCTACTAACATAGAACTGCAACTCTTTTTTAAAATCACTTATTTCAGTAAGTCAGTCAGCTGCTAAAAACCTGTCTGAATAACAAATGTCTTTGCTTGCCAGCAGCAAAATATCAGGGAGGGAGGGAGGGTGGAAGTCTAGCCTTGCCTGACAGTGGGCTTCACAGCAAGGGAGCTGCCAGGTATGAAGAGAAATCGTATCTGTGTTTGGCTGCAGGCATTTGCAGTCCTCTCCAAGAGCAGGAACACTGTAGAAGAAAGGACTCCACAGTGCCAGGCAAGGTGACAATCCTTCTTTAGACCATCCTATTCCATGGAATAAGATTGGGGTGAGGGGGCAAGGCTAGTTCAAAGACCTCTGCAATCTCACCACTGACAGGCTCTCTGTGTGTCTGAACAGAGCAAAAGCTCTTTCTGCTTCTCAAAGCAGCAAAATGCCAACTAAACTGAACTGGCACTTTCAAGAACATACTCAAGTGCACGGCTCCCTCAAGGCCAGAGATGCTAATCTTCTAAAAACTTCAACCAGAGAGGCAGATCTCTGACCTCTGCTGAGTTTTGATGATGCGAAGAGGAAGGGCAGCCTGACAGCCCTGTGGTACACTGAGCAGAAACAATACTTAATTTAATTCTTACCTTTCCCAGTGTTTGTGGTTCAAGTCCAAAAAGTCATCTAATTTTGCTATTTCCTTGAGATACTGAGTAAGTTTTAAAAGCTCCTTATCTTTATCTCTGTTTAAATGGGCTTTCATGAAGGGTTTTATCTGTTGAGAAAAGAAGCAGGTGTAAAGGATGTTTTTAAAAGAGTCTACCAAATTTAACATTTTAGCATTCACTGAATAGGTGATACTTTGATTTTTCAATTTAGGACCCGATTTCATTCTACCAGCCCCCTGCTATGTCCAAAGAGGCTTCATCCTTCCCTTCCGACAGAAATCTGAACTGGCTTCTAATATCAACTAAGAAATCTGTGCAAAAGGATTTTGCTTTTCTACTGAGCATTACCCAGATCTATTTCACAGCTCAAAGGATAAAGCTGCTGGGGCATACACACAGAATGTTTTCACAAATGACCTACTGCTAGAATTGAACCAGCAAAAGCACTGTTTCTTCTGAAATGTTTATCCTTTTCCTCACATGACATGAGTTGCTCAGTAACATGTAACATGCACTGCTGCTTCTTTGTATTAGACAAAAACATTCCCAATTCTGCCTTAGAAATACAAAGATCATTCATACATTGTCACCTTAATGCTATTCTGTCTTGGAAGCAAAACAATTTATTTGGCGGTTTTCTACTCCCGCTTCTCTTTGGAACAGATGCATCAATGTGATCTCAGATTTAAAAGGTTTGAAGATAATTATTTCTTGTTCTATTTATTTTTCACTTCTCCATTTCATCAGAGCCAGCACCTCTTTTCTCATTCTCCAGCATCTCATTTTTCATGTTGTTCTTTCCATCTCTATCCTCCCAGAAAAGAGGACCACACTCACTGTCTCTGAGTTGATTGTGCTGAGAACTGCTGCTTGGGATGCTCGCTACAGACCCCAGAATGCATCTCTCTGCCTTAAAGGCTAGGCAAAGAGTACCAGGTATGTTTTTCTCATGCACTTTGACACATAAAGCCTCTTCTGGGACTTTTAAGTCACCTCTTTCTATCTATAACTAACCCTGATTTGTGTATTACGGCAAAGTTCTGGACACAGGGATCTGTCACAGCCCTGCCACTTGAGACCCTTCTGAACCAAAAGGGGAATTGGATCTTTTCCATTCAAAGCAAGTGCAATAACAGTGGCTTAGGCTCCAATTTGCCACCACACATTGTCAATTTCAGCTTTTTAATTGAAGAGAAAATATAAGCATTCTTTGCGCAACTCAATTGCTCAACTACAACACACCAAACCCACTGGGGATGCCGCTGTCATGGTCTTTGTGACAGTGCTTCCCAGTGGTGACTTGTATCCTTCTGAGAGGCTTATAAAACGCATCCTGGCAGCTACTTGTCACATTTATCAAAGGATTGCAGACATTAAGCTAATCCTGCATGGAATGGCTGATTAAATTTTGTTGCCTCTGGTAGAACATCTGATCTCAATTCCTTCTACAGCAACATTTCTCATGAATGGTCACCTCCAATTTGTCTCGCTGTCAATAAAGCCTGAGATTTAGCAGCACACCAGCTCTCTTTTCCCAAAAGGCGGCAAACAAATCAGTCTGCCAGCACTGTGTTACATCAAGTCGCCATCCAGATGAGCAGCACTTTTGAAGCAACTTGAACTTGTCTGTCAACCATTTCTCAAAATGAAAGAGCTTTATAGAAGGCAACACTGGTATCAAGAGAGCCTGCAATCTTGCCCTGGACCAGCACTTCCCACAAACACCAACATGTTTGGGCAGTAAGGAAGGATGAACAAGCTATTAACATGCAACTATGTTAACAACCATTTCAGATTTGGTACATGCTGGATCTTATGTTCATTTTGGTCTAATTGATCCCTGGCTATTGATACATCTGACAGATATTTCCTTTGGGGTTCCTTCAGAAGCCTCTGATGTTGACCTCTGTCAACAAAAGCATGGAAAAGCACTGCCACTGTTTAATTGTTCAAATGTCCCAAATAGTAAAACCACCATTAGAAACACAGTGGCCTAAAATCCACTTACAGGACAGTGGCTAAGGGAATAATCACTCAAGAGGAATCACTTTTATTTAGGCATGTATAAGACTGTGCTATAAAAGACAGCTCTATGAACAGAGTTCTCTGTTCAATGCCTACATCAGCCATCAATTCACTGAATGGCTTTAGTCAAAAGTTGACGTAACCCCAAAACCCTACTTGCAATACAGCACTCCTACTATAGAAGGCTGATTGGTTTGGCAATGTAAATTACATGGAGTCCTTCAACCATTGACAACAGCACTTTCAAAACGTCAACCTACTTCAACTTCTCATCTCTCCAAAAAATTACCTTTAGTCCATTTTGTGGGTTCATCAGAAAATTTCGTCCAATGTCATCAAACATAATAGTATTTTTCTTGCTATAAAACTCTGAAAATTTACCCCATATGACTCCTAAAGGTTTCACCTGCAAAACCAAAGAAGAGAAAAAAAAATCCCATGTATTACAACAGCAGAATCAATCATTCAAATGACTGATTACCAGTGATTTGGGAGTCATCTCCACATCTCACTGACCTCAAGAGTTCTGATACTCATCTCCCTTTTTTTCTTAACTAAAAGGGCCCTTTGCACCCTCTACATGACATAAGAGCACAAAGTGCCTTTTTCACTTTGTTCCTTCCCTGAGCTGCCAGGCAAGAAATGATCTGAATGGATATGTGAAGGAATTGGCTTCCAATGGAAACAGGCTTCCTGTTTCCATTGGGAGAGGTGTGATTAAGGTGGCTTAGTTTATTTTCATAACTAACTTACATAATTAAATTATATCATCATTAACTTCATTTACTATAGAAAAGTTCAAAAGCATTATAACCGTAAGTATTTAATATTTTTCCAGAAAAATATTTAAATTAAACGAATGCTATTGTATCACACCCTTTCATAACAAGAAAAAATTCTGTTACCTACATAGGAAGGACTATCTCTAATATTTTGTTGAGTTAATTCTTCCCCCAAATGTAATTTACTAGCCATTCCATGATCAAACCTATGCCATTAACTCAATGCTCTACAAGCCATCAATCAGTCCATTACAATGAAGTAATTGAAGAGTTCTTAAAGCCCCTTGAGAACATACAGACAACTTCAATGATTCAACTGGTATAAGTATTTCCACAAGTGTCAAGCCAACTATTTTTCTCTTATGGGACATAGCCTGGCATACCTATTGTCTAATTTGGAACTGCTGCCTCAAGGATATCCTTCTGCATTAACTCTATTACCTTCTTGTAGCATATTATTGTCTGAGATACACTGATCTTTTGCAGAGCATAAAAGATAGGTGGTTTCTGCTTCAAAGGGAGCCCACCCAGGTAAATGGTCATCCTGTCACTAATTCTACATGATTTAATTAATGTTATTACTTGTAAAAATAAAAATGCAATCATTTCTAGGGGGAAAAAAGTTCATACATCAATTAATCCTCGTCTTGGAGTGTGCACAGTTATCATGGCAGCACTATCCAGCATGAAGGTGATCTTGTAGTTTGCGTTAGTGCTCACTCCCAGCTCCTGCGTTGGAAAAACCCAATAGTTAATAACATTTTAAACTTCAGCTATTTGACTGCTACATTTTTCAAACCTTGTACACTTCACTTCACAAGTGAGAGCAGTAAAGGATAAAACCAAGGCATGCTAAAGATACACGTCTGTGCCATTCTCCAAGAAAAATTATTATGATGAAATGGAAGCTACATTGCAAACTGCTATATGCCAAACCTATCTACAAGTATCCAAACAATTTTTATGGAGAATATGTGTCTGAATCTGATTCACTATTGTGAGGTCATGTTGTTCTTCTATTAAGAAAAACAAGAAGGAAAACGATGGGATTGTTGAGCTCAAGACCCTTGCTAACCATTTTTATTTACAAGTTCACTATATTACAATCACATTGAGAAACAACCTACAAACTAACCCTAAAAAGGTCATTCCAAATTTTAGAGGGATTAGTGTTGAACTAAAAAAAATTTGAGGTATACATGCCTGTTTCTGGAAGGTAAATACAGTGACACCTTGACTTAAGAGCTTAATTCATTCCATGACATCTTAACTCAAAACATTCTTATCTTAAAGTGAAATTTCCCACTAAAATGTATTGAAATACTAATAATCTGTTCAAGCCCTCTGAACGCCCCCCCCCCATTTTTGTTCCGTGTTTTTAAATAAAAGAATGTACTTTATAAATAAATAATGTATAAATGTACATTTACATGGAGAAAGATCAACTTTTAAAAGGTAGCAGCACAAAGTTGTGGCAAGGAAGCACAAAGTGAAGAGGCAGAAGCATCACTGTCTTCATACTGTACTAATTCCAGCATCCCTCCCTCTCTTGCTCTCTCCTCCTCTCTCTCTTCATGAAGCCAAACATACCAGGAATAAAAACCACACAAAATTGACTAACCCAAAGTTCCTCAAAATGGACAAGTGCAAAGCGGACAGCAATCTCCAAAAGTGGACAAAAGAATGAGGCACAGAGGCATGGAAACTGCTCCCTTGAAGCTCTAAAGTCCTGTACTCTAGCACTAGGTCTTATATCAAAGCAAAACCCAAACTGAATGAGGGCAAACAAGTTGAAATTGAATCCAGGCAAGACAGAAGTATTCCTGGTCAGTTGTAAGGCCGAACAGGGCATAGGGTTACAGCCTGTCCTTCTGAAGACGCAGGTTTGCAGCTTGGGAGTTCTCCTGGATTCATCACTGAGCCTGGAACTCCAGGTCTCGGTGATGGCCAGGGGAACTTTCGCACAATTAAAACTTGTGCGCCAGATATGCCTGTACCTTGGGAAGTTTGACTTGTCCATGGTGGTCCACGCTCTTGTTACATCAAGGATTTATTTATTTACTGCATTTATAACCCACCCTTCCCACCCCCCACCCCAAAAGGGGACTCAAGGCAGCCTCACAGCAAGCACGATTGGTGTTTTCACATAAACATTCAACAAATACAATGAAAACATTAAAACCTTTAATTAAAAACAGTTAATTAAAAAGCAATTAATTAAACATGCCAATTAAAATTCAAAGCAGGGTCCAGGTCAATTCATTGTCGCCAGTTGCTTAAATCTTCTTCTCACTTGCTGCTATTCAATGGTTGAAGGCTTGGTCCCATAGCCAAGTCTTGACTTTCCTTCTGAAAGACAGAAGGGAGGTGGCCAATCTGATATCCCTGGGGAGAGAATTCCACAGATGGGGGGCCACTGCTGAGAAAGCCCTGTTCCTCGTCCCCACCAATCGTGTTTGAGATGGTGGTGGGAGCAGGAACAGGGCCTCTCCAGATGATTGTTAGTAACAGGGGATACGTTCGTACAGGTAAACTGGGCCAGAACTGTTTAGGGCTTTAAAGGTTAAAGCCAGCACTTTGAATTGTGCTCGGAAGTAGACCAGCAGCCAGTGGAGCTGGCGTAACTGAGGGGTTGTGTGCTCCCTGTATGCCGCTCCGGTGAGCAACCTGGCTGCCAACGGTTGGACTAGTGGAAGCTTTCGGGCAGTCTTCAAAAGCAGCCCCATATAGAGTGCATTGCAGTAGTCTGTTTGGGATGTAACAAGAGCGTGGACCACCATGGCCAAGTCAGACTTTCCAAGGTATGGGTGCAGCTGGCGCACAAGATTACTGCAATATGTTCTATATGGGGTTGACTTTGAAGACTGTTCAGAAGTTTCAAGTGGTCCAATGAGAGGCAGTCAGATTCCTCACTTGTGCAATGTCCAGGGAGCATACAACCACCCTGTTACATCAGCTCCACTAGCTGCCAGTCTGCTCCGAGCACAATTCAAAGTGCTGGCTTTAGCCTATAAAGCCCTAAACGGTTCCAGCCCAGCTTACCGGTCTGAACGTATTTCCCTCTATGATCCACCTCGGAGATTAAGATCTTCTAAGGAGGCCCTGGTCTCAGTCCCACCTCCTTCGCAGGGACGGATGGTGGGGACGAGAGACAGGGACTTCTCAGTGGTGGCCCCTTGGCTATGGTACTCCTCCCTAGTGTAATTAGAGCAGCCCCTCCTTCCTAACCTTCAGGAAGAAAGTAAAAATTGTGGTTATGGGACCAAGTTTTCGGATAGCAAGTTTTTAGAGAATAAGGAATAGTGAACTGACAAATGGAATGGCTTCGGATTATGATTTTGGATGATGTGATTTTAATAATTGGTTTTAAATTGTGATGTTTTAATATTTTGGTTTTAAAGTAAATGTTATTTTATTGTATGTTTATTTTTGGCATTGAATTGCTGCCTAATTTGTAAGGCATCTCTGAGTCCCCTTTGAGGCTGAGAAGGGAGGATATAAATGAAGTAGCTAAGTAATAAATAAAGTTGGGAATGCTGAATTCATATATTTTATTTATATATATATATATAGTTGAATAGATCCTGTTAAACTGCTGTTTCCATGCTATTTCCTATGCTATTATATGTTTCTATCCACCTTTGAACCACCTTATCCTTTAATCAATTCGCATAGTTCCCTTTTCCCCCTCCTCCAAAAAATAATCTGCTGTTGTTTTGATGTTTGTTTATTATTGTTTATGCTGTTTTATGCTATTTTAACTGGTTATTGTTCTGTTTTTAATTGTATTTTGCCCTGGGCTTGGCCCCATGTAAGCCGCCCCGAGTCCCTTTGAGATGGAGATGGGGTAGAAAAATATAGTTCTTCTTCTTCTACTACTACTGAAACGTATTTGGGACATTGAGGGAGGGACAAGTCCATTGTTCAACTTAAGCATGGCTTTGGTTCCTTACAAATGCTTGTAAAAATGAAAAGCAACTCTGCAGTTTCCACAGCTACTGCAGTGCAGCTTTTTAAACTGGTGAAGGCTCAGTATTAAGACCGAGAACCAACAGCTGGCCATCAAAGCTACATCAAAGCAGTATGTAGAGTCACCCCTATTTCTTCAATTATGCCTGTTTAATATTTGCAAAGTGTGGCTCATGAGCCATATATAGCCCAATAGGACCATTACTGTGGTTTAAAAAAATATCTCTATGGGGTGGGGAGGGTAGTTTTACCATGTCTGCAATGCTCCTAGAACACACAGAAGTTGAAATAAAATTATGCATTTTCTTTTTCAAAAACATGTCTTTTAGAGGGCATTTGGTGAAAAGGCTTACAAGAGTAGGAGTAGTGGGTATGTGGCACTCCAGAGTCTCCTTGAGTGCTAATGCAGCCCCACACACAAACACACCGAGACACATGACTTACTTTCATTTTAGCTTCAATCCATTTCATGTTAGTAGCAGCTGAAAGAAAAAGGAAGGGATCCACGGGTTAATGCCTCAGCTATTATTAAAATCTGTCTTCTTACAAAATAATTACAACCTGGATATAACCTAATTACTATTTATAAATCACAGATGCCAAAAAGAATGCAAAGTCTGTATCATCATGGCACACAGGTCAGACAAGCATTTTAGAACAGTTGTGTGAACTGGCTAATGAGATATCCTAAATTCCAGTAGTACTCTAGTCCCTGTAGCTCTTTGAATTCAAATTTCTCTGAACTTCTGAGCTATTTTTAAATGTGTAAATATTACGGGTGAAACTGGAAGCACATACTGCCCGATTTATTAACAGGAAAAGTAAAATATGACACATATGTGTTAAAATACTATTCTGTTTAACAACTGGATGTGACACAAGAAGGAGAAAGGGGATTCACACTTTTTCAATACTCCAGAAATGCAAATCGCAGCTTGGGTGTGACCCTGGATTCATCTTTGAGCCTGGATCCCCAGGTTTCAGGTGACCAGGGGAGCATTTGCACAGCTTAGGCTCGTGCGCCAGCTGCGCCCGTACCTTGGGAAGTCTGACTTGGCCACGGTGGTACACGCTCTGGTCACATCCCGCCTTGACTACTGCAACGCTCTCTACGTGGGGCTGCCCTTAAAGACGGCCCGGAAGCTTCAGCTAGTCCAGCGCGCGGCAGCCATGTTACTAACAGGAGCGGGACGCAGGGAGCATACAACGCCCTTGCTGTTCCAGCTCCACTGGCTGCCGATTTTCTACCGGGCCCAATTTAAGGTGCTGGTGCTATCCTACAAAGCCCTAAACGGTTCCAGCCCAAAATACCTTTCGGACCGCATCTTGGCCTATGAGCCCACGAGGGCCTTGAGATCGTCTGGGGAGGCCCTTCTCTCGATCCCGCCTGCCTCACAGGCACGTCTGGCGGGGACGAGAGAGAGGGCCTTCTCAGTGGTGGCCCCCCGGCTGTGGAACACCCTCCCTGTTAACATCAGACAGGCGCCCTCCCTGATGGCTTTTCGTAAGAGCCTAAAGACCTGGCTATTCGAGAAGGCATTTAATTGAGCCACACGAATCTGGTAATGACATTTGGAACGGACTATGGATTATGAGATTGGCTATGATTCCATGTTGTGATGGCGCGGATTTATTAGTGTGATTAGATTAATGTGTAATTTGGTTGTTGATATATTGTATGTTTTGTAGACTGTTTTTTACATGTTGTACACCGCCGCGAGTCGCCCCAGGGCTGAGAGCGGCGGTCAACAAATGAAGTAAATAAATAAATAAATAAATAAATAAATATTTGATTGTGAAAAAGTGGAATTGTGATAAGCATCTTACAATGAGGCACAAAGATCTATTGTTAAGGGGGAAATGAGGCATTAGTAAGCAACAACATGGGGGTAGGGGTGGTGGTCAAAAGACCATCTTGCATCCCCAAATGTAATCTGAAGTAGTTCTTTGAATTCACTTTTATGTTTACTTCCAACAGAGATCCAGTTCCTACTCCTTGATTTATCATAGCCACCACAGAGGATTCTTTCAATTGTTTTTCTTTTCTTTTTTTACATTTGCCACCCCATCAAACCTAAAGGTTTCACAGAATCAAAAAATATGCAAATCTAGCCATTGACAGCTATAATGGATGTTTTCATCTTCTAAATGATAAAACTAATGCAACAAAGGCACTTGCACTTAGGAAAGAATGTAACTTACACCAAATCACAATATCATAGTCTTCGTATGCTGATGTTAGGAACTCGTGAAGGTATGGTCTCATCAATTCAATCCCAGTTTCTGCACATGACCTATGGTCTGAAAAGAAAACCAGCTAGTTCAGTTAAATAATGCAGAACTTTCCTGCAAAGGGATTTTGTAGTACCTTTGATAATGAAAAAAGTTTTCATATACTGTAGGTTTTGCAGACTGAAGGTACATCTAAGCCAGTGATTCCCAACCTGTGGTCCGTGGACCATCAGTGGTCCGGAAGAACTAAAATATGGTCCACGGCCTCACCATTACTACACCATTGCAACAAGAGCAACTGGTCTCATGAAACTCTCTTAATAGTGCCGATGGTCATTGAATGTGGTTTTCTGTGGGCAAGCAGATGGCGACTACTGGATGGCATATGTTCTGTATCAGAAATTAGAGCGGATGTGGTCTATCCAATGCAATTTTCTGAATCAGCACCCCAAATAACCAAACTGAATCTAAATTTGGCCAAAAACTTATTTGTAAGCCTTTTGGTACTAATGTTGGAGAGTGGTCCCTGGTCAAGTGGTCACTGGTAAAAAAAAAGGTTAGGAACCACTGATCTAAGTTGTAGAATTAATACAGTTTGACACCACTTTTAACTGCCATGGCTCAGTGCTATAGAATCCTGGGTTTTACAAGGTATTTAGCCTTCTCTATCAAACAGTGTTAGTGTTCACCAAACTACAACCATGATTCCACAGCTTTCAGCCATAGCTGTTACAGTGGTGTCAATCTGCATAGTAAAGTATAGGTGTCGTCTACACCATCAAGGGCATGGACCCCATGCATCTGATTAAGTAGACTAAAACTATGGAAGCTTATGCTACAAACTTCTTTCTTAGTTAGACTGAAATGTGCTACAATATTCCTTTATGTATTGATCCAGATTAAAACAGCTGTCTCTGAATTTAAAATTTTCTTGTAACACAGACACCAACTTTTCTTACCTACATTGTGACAAAGACCTGAATTATCAAGCCAAATGAGGAGCACTTCCACACGGTGTACCTACAACCTTCAGAAAGATTAAAATCCCACCAATCAACTGCTGGGCAAGAAATGAAAAGCAGGAAACCCCACCTCTGTCTCCCTCAATGGCTAGTAGACACGCATTTGACAAGGTTCTCCGTCCAATCCCATTTATTGGATTTGAAAGGAGAACCATATGCACAGCAGCAATTTAATGAAAGCAATTTAACACTTCATCAGAACAGTTATTCTGAAAACCTGATTAATCTTAAATTATTCCATTGTGTGATCCAAGGTTATGAGTCTATCCTCCTCTGGCCCCATTCCCAGCTTCCTAAAGCTGGACACTCATAAACCATCTTCAGCATATATATCAGCTTCAGCACACAGAACTTGATCGTTTTTAAATCAGTTTTCCATCCATATGAAAAAGGGAGTTGTAATTTGGTCCAGATTATTAATCAGAATCTTAACACATGGCTTGATCAAAAACGTTACATTTGAAGCAAGCCACGAATTCCCCTTTGTGTTATTAAACTCTTGAACCATAATTTCCTTATATAGTTTGTCTAGGGACTTGGGATAGCTATGGGTTTTTAGACAGTAGTCCTGAGGACAGGGAATTGTCAAATTGGCTATCTGTAAACTGCTCTGGAAGCCTTTTAGACCAAAGGGCAGGATATGAATGCGGATACTCTAAATAAAATCAAATGGTATGTTGACTGAGAAATCATATTTGTTTTATGTATGTCACTCTCAAAAACTCATAAAATATAAAAACACACATTGCCTTTAAAAGCATTTACTCATTCTACCAGAAGAAAGCAAATAAAAATAGATGAAAGATTTTCATCCATAAAAAAGAAGTATCTAGTGGCACTTCAACAACTAAGATTTAGTGTGGATGTGTATTCATTTCAAGATATGAATCCACAGATGTTATTGTTATGATGCTATAAGATGCTGTCACAGGAACAAGGCCTTTTAGACAATATTTCTGGAATTATTTTCTCCTGAAGACTTATGTGGCTCCTCACTGGTGACATAGGATGCCAACTTTTTTCCTTTGGTTATTTCAAATTCAACTTTGTTTTAATGATTTTATTGTTTAATATATTGTATCATTACCAGTAAGCAGCCTTAGGTGACTTAGGAAGTAAAGGACCAGAGATAAATATATTTAACAAATGAGCAACCTGAGTATAAATGCAACTGAATAATATTTCCAAGACACATCACTCACCAAACAACGTGTAATCAACATCTAGGACCAATAATTTCTTCCCTTCCCGCGGAGGATTCAATATTTCTACTTTGTACTCCTTAACTCTGCGTGAGATTTTTAGCAGATTCTCTTCCCTGCACATAAACAGCACAAATTACATGTGACTGTTGCACCTTTCTTAACCATCCAGTTGTTTCCTCATGCTGCAACAACTCACCTGTTTTCTACTTCAACAACTTCCTCTTCAATATCAAAATCATTAACTACATCTTCATTATCAGGCGGTGGCCCAAGGACATCTTCCTGTAACAAAAAAAAACCTTAGGAATTGACTGTACGGGTTTACATTCACCCAGAATCTTCACCTATTGAACAAACTGAGTGCTAGTGCACACATCCAGTGTATTCTTGATCCTACTAGCTCCGGTTAGTATTTGTTTAGTATTGTTATCAAAGACAGGAACTAGGCTTTCAAGCAAGGCAGGATTTGTAGTTAGCACTAAACATTGGTTTACTAACCTGGCAGGATTCTGCTTTCAGACTGATTAGTTATTAATTATAGTGGGGGAAGCATCAGCACAGTCTGCCAATAAGGTCAGGGTGTGTCAGAATTCTGGCTTATCCTTCTACATGAATGCTGCCAGTAGTAACATTTCTGACTTTCTAACCCTCTCACTCCAAATGGCACATCTTGGTACCATGAGGAATAGATTGATAAGTCAATAGCCAGTATAAACTTGGTAGAGATGTGTAAAATCATTTAAGCAAAGGAACCAGGAAGACAAGGTGACAAAAAGGGGAAAAAATGAGAAGTTTGGAATTTCAACGTGTTACAGATATTTTGATTAAAATTCATTACCTTTAGAGTTATCCAGATAATGGAATGGAAGAACTGGCATGGAGAACTTTAAATAAATTTCTTAGTTTAAAGAGAAGGGGATCGCAAGAAAAGAAACTTCATTGTAATTCTGATCACCTACAGTGTTTTAACCCGGGTTTTTACTATGAAGAAATTTCTTAATTTTAAGGGAAAAAAAGATGAACTGGGAAACAGTCTTATTGTGTTTAAAGGGTCCCCTTCTACTAAAACGTTTACATGCTACTTCCCAAAGCAATTTATACAATACAATGCAAGAAATTGCGATTATGTGCTTTGAACTGGATTTTTGATTTTATACTGGCATATAATCTAGTTCAAAGCAGATAATCTGGATTTTATACAGCAGTGCAGAAGGGGCCTAACACTGTGCACCAATAGGACCAATAATTGTGATTTCACCTACTAGTGCCTGAGAAAGTATGTCCTGTCTAGGAATATTTTAGGTCCTCTAGGCCATTCTATAAGATGCGTCTACCAGAAGCTTCCAGAATCACCCTGGAAGACCTAGCATATCCCTAAAGAGAACACCTGTCAGTCCTATGTTCTATGTTCACTTCTGGCAGAAGTCATTTATTTCAATAGGATTCACTATGGTTTTCTGTTTCCATGGTAATTTCAGGAACCATTAAGTGCATGTGTGCATTTAGTATTAAACATGTTTTACCAAGCTTTCCTCACGAGTCCCCATCATCATGATTTTTGTATTAGGTTTCAGTTTTAGTGTTCCAAGCTTGACATCATTCTCTGCTGGTTTGCCTAAAATACAAGCACATCACAGCATTCTCAGTGAAAATATGCAGTTTCTTACACACGTTTTCTCTTTTTCTAATGTATATAGTAAAGAAATATTTTAAAATACTGCAATATTAAAACTTATAAAGATACAGTAACACATCTTTCCTCTCCTCTTCCCAAATACAGCTTGGTATAAAGGTGGTTTTTTTCTCAGCGGGACTATCTGATAGCCAGGAAAATGATTTTCTCACCTCCAAATTAGATTGGCTCGGAACATGATTTTTAAGATACTAAAGTTTAATAGTACACACATTAGTACAGTACAGCTTCTTTCTTCTGCCTTGTTTCTTTTCATAAGCAAGTGAATCTCAAGCCATTTTATATTCTGGCCACATGCAAAACAGTAAGTCGGGATTCTGGAGAATCCTGGTTTACCATGAACAAACTGACTGCATCACTATCAAATTGAAGAGTATCATTCTCCATGAGAGTTGTATGAGTCCTACATTTATCTCCACTGGACTGCCTTGCCATAGAGATAAAAGGTTTTTGATTTGTTTGTTTTTTAAACCTGTTCAACATGTCCCAGCTATATTTTCTTGTCACAAATATTGTATGCAAATATTACAATGTCTATGTAATTTATTTAATACTTTTATATCCCAATCTTCTCTACCTCCGTAGAGGGACTCTATGTGATTCACTAGAAAAGATAATGCTTCTTAAAACAAAAGGCAGCAGGAAAAGAGAAGGGCTGCATTACAGGTGGACAGACTCAATCAAGGATGCAGTGGCCCAAATCTTCAGCAGGGCTATTGATGAAAGGAGCTATCATTCATAGTCATCATAAGCTAGTCAGTTTGAAAGTAGTTAATAATATCATCAATCCTGAGATAGTAATACTAACATATTTCTAATGAACTTCCTGGTTCCTGTAGGTATCTTGCATTCTTACAATAGAGACAACACTAGAGGAGATATTTATTTATTTATTTATTTACTTACTTGCTGCATTTATATCCCGCCCTTCTCAGCCCAAAGGGGACTCAGGTCGGCTCACAAAACAGGCGCAATGCAATGCCATATACAAGATAATACAACATATACATTAAAACAATAATTAAAGCATATCAATCTTAAAGCAGTTAATTAAAATCACACAATCCAAAGGGATATTCCAGGAGCCCTTCCGGTCATCTATTGCATTGTTACATAAACATTTATTGCACTGAGAATTATTGTTCAAAGGTTTGGTCCGATAGCCATGAATTCACTTTCTTTCTGAAGGTCAGAAGGGAGGGAGCTGACCTAATTTCACTGGGGAAGGAGTTCCATAGCCAAAGGACCACCTTGGAGAAGGCCCTGTCTCTTGTTCACACCAGTCGTGCCTGCGAAGGGGGTGTGATCGAGAGCAGGACCTCCCTGGATGGTCTTGACCTCTGAGATGAAGCATGGCAGTTATATAATTGAACAGTCAAAGTATACGATTACAGTAAGTTAAATACATCAGTAGGCTAAAGATATATAAAAATTTTGTATGATGTATTTCATTTTCCCAGTAAGAATAATTACACAAAATTATTCTTACCAGGAAAATGAAATACATCATACAAAATTAGCATATATCTGTAGCCTATTTAACAACCAGCTCCAGCTACGCAATCTCACCTCTCAATGAAAGTTACATGAAAAACATAGCTTACCTTTCACTTTAAGTCCAAGAAGCTTTTGGCGCTCAGGTAACACCCCAGTAAGTCCTTTGAGCGACTGCTTGAGATCCAATACTGTGTCTTCTTCTGACAAGGTGGTTATCGAAAATTCCTGTCCACCCCATTTTATAATAAGAGACACAGCCATATTTGTAACATATGTTCAAAATAAACCTATGGGGAAGCAATAAACAGCTATCAGATCATTCCAAATGCCCTACATTCTTCTTCTTCTTCTTCCTTTTTTTTTTTTTTTTTTTTTTGGCAGTACATGTATGGCCCCACAGGACCTTGTGTGGACACATGAAATCATAGATAATAGCAAACCCATGCTGATATGGCCCCAAATGTACCATTGTGTTCCACTGGAGAACATAGAAAATGCTTGAGAGGACAAAATTTGTTGTAACTGGAAAAATGAAATTGTGAATACCATTGCCATAGATAATGAGATCACACTGAACTAGCAGTCTAAATGTATATTTTGACTGCATGCTTATATCGCTCACCAACCAAGAAATTATTAAAAACATAAACATTCACCAAGAACTGGAAAAAGAAGGAAATATCCACCTTAGAGGACTGGCTACTCAAAGTATATGATATTATGATTATGGATAACCTGCCTCAACAGCTTAGAACCCGCCAATAGGGAGACCAAGAGAAAGCAAACTGGACTGAAGTTTAAAAAATTTCAAAGAAAAAAATGGGTGCTAAGTAGAAGAATTAGAGAGAAGGCTGGAACCCAAGGAGGAATACAAGACTAACAGATTCACATTAGTTAGGAGGAAGGAGATGGGAGGTCAAAATAAATTATGTATTTGCACTATCTCCAATTGTTGTTGTGGGGGTTTTTCCTTTCTTTTTCATTATTATTTATTTATTCCATTTTTACACACACACATATTTCACCCCCGCCCCATCCCCTTTATCCCACTTCCTCATGTGTTGATGCAATTTTGTTCTTTTTTTTAGTTTTGTAAATGTTAATAATAATAATAAACATAATGGGTTCACTTCCCAACAAAAATGTGCACAACTGCTATTAAGATCAAGTAGAACATAGCTTTAATGGTCTACATAGATTTGGAAGATGTTTCAGATTGCAACATGTCTCCTAAGAAATATTCTTCACAACATGTAAAGGGGACTTACTCCTGGTAAAGGATTTTACCAAAGAAATGTAAAAGAAGTATGACTGAGCAAAGCATTCTACATTTAGTAAAATTATGGTTTCCATAATCCATCTGCTCATGAGGAAATCTGTGGTCACCACAAAGCTCTTAAGCAAGAATCCAGAGAAAGATGTCTGCATTTGGTGTCCTGCAGTTGTAATATATTAAGTGGTTTGCTGTTAAAGGATAGTGTTCATATATTACCTTCGAGCTGACATGAAAATCCTTCTGTAGTTTAATCATGATTTTATGTGTAAAATCATGATCAAACTACAGAAGGATTTTCATGTCAGCTCGAAGGTAATATATGAACACTATCCTTTAACAGCAAACCACTTAATATATTACAACTGCAGGACACCAAATGCAGACAACTACTTAAAACTTTATTTGAAAGCTTTAATTAAATCTTCTGACAATATGACTCCAGATGGGAAGCTCAAGACATCACATAATAAGATGCAAAATAGAGGCATGGCTGAAACTGTTTGCATTTCCAAGCCACCAGGTAAAGTTATTCCATCAATAACAGTATTTGGATTGCCTGAACAACTAATAAAGTTTTCTTCAGGCTAATGTAAATTGGATGAAGGTCTCATTACAGAAGAAATAGTGTCTTCATTCATCTGAGCTCACGCTTCCACAATGCAGAGTTCTCAATTCCTCATACAGCCACAACAGGATTAAGCTATAAGGAATACAGTACCTTTAATTTTGGGGTGGATGAAGTAAATATTTAGCCTAGTAGCCTTTAGTCCTGCATAAGGAGAAATGTGGGATATAAATAAAACAAAACAAGGTGTGTTGACATATGCAAAAACTAAACATTCAAAAACAAAAGTGCTGCTTACTTTAGGAAAATTTTGACAACATACTGATTAGAGCCCCGGTATATTTTAGTTATTTAGAGAGAAGAATTTGAAGTTTGGATTGTTGTTGGTTTTTTCGGGCTCTATGGCCATGTTCTAGAGGCATTCTCTCCTGACATTTCGCCTGCATCTATGGAAAGCATCCTTAGAGGTAGGATGCTTGCCATTGATGCAGGCGAAATGTCAGGAGAGAATGCCTCTAGAACATAGTCATATAGCCCGAAAAAACCAACAACAACCCAGTGATTCTGGCCATGAAAGCCTTTGACAATAATCTGAAGTTTGTTTTTTTCTTTCCAGGACGACCCATAGTTCAATATCAAAGAACAAGCTTTGCACACCAAAGATCCCATGTTCAGGTAGAACTGAGAAGATCTTTCAGACTCTCAAATCATTTTACATAGTAACTCTCAGAGTTTGTTTAAGGCAGCTCTGTGTGTTCACTTGCTTATAAGCAGGACAGGAAAAAAGACACACAATCTAAACACCTACAGAAAAGGAAAAACCCAGGGGGGCGGGATCCAACTTATACAAATACCTCCCATTCTAACAGATGATGATTTATATCCTACTTTTTGTACTTGCATGGAACCAAATTAGCTCTGCTGTCTGGATATACTTTCATGTATTTTTTTTAAAAAAATGATTTTCCCCCCACAAGTAATGAGACGAGCCTATGTTTTAAAAAGATCTACCCCTCCTTTTTGCTGACTGCTTTAACTCTGAAAGTAGAGAATCCATTATTTCTATACTAAAAATACTTAATTTCGGTATTGATTCTTATGGGCAATGGTTAACTCCTCCTCAGGGTAAACAGCCAGAAAAGGATTATATCAGGCCTGGGCCAACTTGGGCCCTCCAGGGGTTTTGGACTTCAATTCCCACCATTCCTAACAGCCTCAGGCCCTTTCAGCCTCAGGGGAAAAGGAAGGGACCTGAGGCTGTTAGGAATTATGGGAATTGAAGTCCAAAACCCCTGGAGGGCCCAAGTTGGCCCAAACCTGGGTCACATGAACGCAATGTATATATTTACAAGTGTCTGGGCCACATATTCTCTCAGAAAGAAGCCCAAACTCGAGGTGAATTGGCTTTAACGTGCTGCAGGCCGCCTTGAGTCCTGCCCTGGGAGAAAGAAAGGAAGGAAGGAAGGCGGGCACAGGTGAAGGCAAATACCCGGGTCCAGGCGCCCTTTCTTCGCCCTGGGCCTTCCTAGAGAGACCGAGGCGGAAAGGGGAGGGAGGGAGGGAGACTCTCCTTCGGAAGAAAAAGGAGCAGCAGCAGCGAAGCCGGCCAAAGCCGGGAAAGAGGAGGACTCCGTCTCACCCCGAAAACGACCGTCCCGGGAAGCAGAAGGCGCAAGCGGGAGGGGGGGGAGCGGACCGGAAGAACTTGTTGAAGCGCCCGGAAGTGGAGACCCGGCCGGCAGGCGGAAACATAGATATAAGTAACTTGTAGAGGGAACCTCAGCTCTGTTGCTTCCGAATACCGCGGTAGCCATTTTGGTTTGTTTGAAAGAACGCGACAGGTGCCTCTTCTGCCTCTTCTGGCGTTTGAAACGTGTGCTGCTATCTTGGGGGTGTGTTGTGTGCCTTCACGTCGCCTGCTGGGTTGTACCTTTGCGCTTGAGGATCCTGTCCACCTCCTCCTTCTGCCCCATCCACTGAGCTGTATGACATCCACATTGGACTGAATTATATGGCAGTGTGGACTTAGATAACCCAGTTCAAAGCAGATCTTGTGGGATTTTCTGCCTTGATATTCTGGCTGTGTGGAAGGGCCCTTTGTAGCTGTCCTAATCCTGGCACATTTGTGATTGCAGTCTCCACTCCAAATAATACTTGAGCGCAGGACGTCTTTCAAACTGCATTATATGGCAGTGTGGATGGGGCCTTTGACCACCTCAAAGCCTTCATTGTTTATTTCGGAGTTGTGTGGTTACTCTCACCCAATCTATTCAACTTGTATGCGGAACACATCATGCGACATGCGGGCCTTGACGAATCCAAGGCTGGAGTTAAAATTGCTGAAAAAAAATTAACCTTAGATATGCAGATGATACCACTTTGATGGCTGAAAGCAAGGAGGAGCTGAGGAGCCTCCTAACCAAGGTGAAAGGACAAAGTGCAAAACCTGGGTTACAGTTAAACCAGGATTGTGGCGCAGCTGGCTGAGTGTCAACTGCATTAAGATCACTCTGACCAAAAGGTCATGAGTTCGAAGCCAGCCCGGGTTGGAGTGGGTTTCCAACCAAATGTGCAGCCTGTTGTCAACCTTTGCAACCCGAAAGACAGTTGCATCTGTCAAGTAGGAAAATTAGGTACCACCTTGTGTAGGGAGGCTAAATTAACTAATTTATGAGGCCATAAAAAAGACTCCAGCAAAGCACTCCAGCAAAAAGCATGCGGGGAATGCGGAAGTACTTCATCAGTGTCGCAAATGGACAGTGAATGCGACAGCTCCCCTGGCGGCCAGAAAAAGTTAAATAGCCTCTGTGTATGTCTGTATACATTGTATGTCAAATTGGCATTGAATGTTTGCCATATATGTGTACACTGTAATCTGCCCTGAGTCCCCTGCGGGGTGAGAAGGGCGGAATATAAATAAATAAATAAATAAACATTTAAAAAGCCAAGATGATGTCAACCGGACTGATTGATAACTGGCAAATAGAGGGAGAAAATGTGGAGACAGTGACACTTTGTATTTCTAGGTGCAAAGATTACTGCAGACGTAGACTGCAGCCAGGAAATCATAAGACATTTACTTCTTGGGAGGAGAGCAATGACCAATCTCAATAAAATAATTAAAGAGAGACATCACATTGGCAACTAAGATCCACAGTTAATGCAATGGTATTCCCTGTAGTAACCTATGGATGTGAGAGCTGGATCATAAGGAAAGCTGAGTGAAGGAAGATAGATGCTTTTGAACTGTGGTGTTGGAGGAAAGTTCTGAGAGTGCCTTGGACCGCGAAAAGATCAAACCAGTCCATCTTCCAGGAAATAAAGCCCGACTGCTGACTGGTGGGAAAGATATTAGAGGCAAAGATGAAGTACTTTGGCCACATAATGAGAAGACAGGAAAGCTGGGGAAAATGGAAGGAAAAAGGAAGAGGGGCTGACCAAGAGCAGTGACTGCCTTGACCTTGAAAGAGCCGTGTGGTGACAGCCAACAGGGAGCTCTGGAGTGGGTTGGTCCATGGGGTCACAAGGAGTCAAAAACAACTGAACGAAGCAACAACAAAATATTCAGCTGTAACCCCACCTTTGCACTTTCTTCTTTTAGTTTCTACACAAATCATTCCTAATCTTTGCTATTTTCTGCTAGTGCAGGCAGTCCCTGAGTTACAAACATTCAACTTACAAATTACTCATATGTGTTGTCAAAAGCTTAAAGATAACCTTAAAAATGTGGAATAAACACCGAGAACTGGGAAGATCTGTCACTTGGGCATTGGAACTGGAGATCAGCTGTTACCAACAGGGCTGTGGATTTGAAAGAGGCATAAATAGAGGGCAAAAGAGAAAATGAAAGCATTTAAAGCAAACTCTTGTCGGGACCAACTTCCACCTGGACATCTATGTCCTCATCGTGAAAAACCATGTAGATCCAGAATAGATGTCTAAAATCACTTACAGACCCACCACCAAGACTCTGCCCTTGGAAAATTATCACACTCGGCCACAAGATGATGAGGGGCACAAATTCCCTGCAAAAGGAGAAAGAATGAATATGTCCAGGGGTGGTGGGAAGCAGGGGTAGTGCCGCTGCTGTGATCCCTTAACTTTGTCCAGGTGAAACACACTCACAGCACACAGGGAAAGGAAAATTTTGGTGCCATGATTCACAGGGTATGTGAAGTGGGATGCAGGGAGGGAACTACCAGAGATAATCCCAGGAGGAAGAGAACGAGCTGGACTCACATGCTCCTTTACATACCCTGTGGATTCTGTCTACTGTTTCACCCAGACAAAGTAAGGAGATACCTGGTGGTGTAGGGGCAAAGAAACCAAAATATTTCCCAAAAGCAAGAGCCCCCTTTCCAATAGGATGGACACCACAAAAGTTGAATCTTTTAAACTACAAAAAACCATTTATTGCGTGGCTATAGCAATAACGACAAACGAGCATGCAGGAATGCAATCAAAGGGTTTGTCGCAACCCCCAATGGGGCTGCAGGTTTTTATCACTTTGGTAGTAAATGGAATATACATTTTCATTGGTTCCCAAAGATAAATCATTTCATTGATAGCTAATACAGTTGTTCATTAGTTGTTTATGATTTTGATTGACATTATAGCACACGTGGGATCCTGACAATGACACAACTATGACACTTTGTATTTCTAGGTGCAAAGATTACTGCAGATGCAGACTGTGGCCAGGAAATCAGAAGACGCTTACTTCTTGGGAGGAGAGCAATGTCCAATCTCGATAAAATAGTAAAGAGTAGAGACATCACACTGGCAACAAAGATCCGCCTAGTCAAAGCCATGGTATTCCCTGTAGTAACCTACGGATGTTAGAGCTGGACCTTAGGGAAGGCTGAGCGAAGGAAGATCGATGCTTTTGAGCTGTGGTGTTGGAGGAAAGTTCTGAGAGTGCCTTGGACTGCGAGAAGATCCAACCAGTCCATCCTCCAGGAAGTAAAGCCCGACTGCTCACTGGAGGGAAAGATACTAGAGACAAAGTTGAAGTACTTTGGCCACATCATGAGGAGACAGGAAAGCCTAGAGAAGACACTTATGCTGGGGAAAGTGGAAGGCAAAAGGAAGAGGGGCCGACCAAGGGCAAGATGGATGGATGGCATCCTTGAAGTGACTGGACTGACCTTGAGGGAGCTGGGGGTGGTAACGGCCGACAGGGAGCTCTGGCGTGGGCTGGTCCATGAGGTCACGAAGAGTCGGAGACGACTGAACGAATGAACAACAACATGGGACCAAGCCTTTGGATGTCTTAATGAATCAATCTTATCTGTTAGTCTGTTGCAAACATGACTTCAGAGCAACTGGGAAACTTGGGGGTTCTAACTAGCCACCAGCTAGCTGGTTTTGTCCAGATGTATTGTTATCCTTGAATAGTAACTTCTTCTCTGGAGCACTGATTTCTCAAACAATCAGCATTTTCTGTAAACATAGGCCTACTGCAGAAACAGGCCAATATGGCAGTAAATCGTGACATAGGCATTGGCAACATCTCTGAAAATTCTCTTTAAAACCACGTTCCCTCAGGTGGAACAAAAACATATGGCAAATAGGAAGAAAAGTAGGAACCAGCCCTATGCACTTTCTCGTCACTTAATTGTGGATCTATTTCCTCCTCATCTTCCTATGTGCTACATGTGTCTGTTCCTCCCCAGTACCTCCTTTATCTGGGCAAAACAACATTCATGGCATGCAGGAAGAGTAAAATGAGCAAAATCCACAGTAAGATGAAGTAGTGGATGAGGCTGACTCCTCTTCTAAAAGAAATACGCCACCTCCCAAACACCATTCACCCCACTTCTGAGGACGGAGTGAGTATTCACAAGGCAATACTACATGCTAGTGGCACAGTCTCACAAATAAAACCACAAGTATGAAACCTGTGACAGTGGAGGGATGAAAGTATATGTCTACATAAAATATTAAATGCAGTATATGATGTCTACATAATTACAGCTCTGAATTTATAATGTTGAGCTGTTTCATCGTAATAACATCCAAAAAATTCCAAGACTGCATTGTAACGCTTTTTTAATCCAAGTATGTATTTTAATAATGCTTTATGACACCAATAAAATGTTCATGTTGTTCTTATGTCCCTTAAAGGTTGGTTCTGACTTATGTCAGTCCTTTCATAAGCCTTTCTGGGCAAGATATTTATACAGAGGAGATTTTCAATTACCTTCCTCTTAGGCTGAGAGAATGTGACTTGCCCAAGGTTACTAGTGGATCTATAATGCTAGACAGAGATGTGAACTGTGGCCTCCTAGAGTCCTAATCTAACATTGAAACCTCATTATTTTTGTGTAACTTTTGAGAGCAGCATTCTTCATTTTGTGCAAAAACTGATAAGGGCAACATGTGTGTTTGTGAACAGATGCTTGTTTTGAAAAGATAAATAAGTCTCAGATAAACACGATAATTGGATCCTTTATAAACACTGTCAAGTATTTTTGAGGTTTCTCAGCTTATAGTAACAATATTTCTTTAGAATGTCATTTCCACCAAATGGTAGAACATTAAATAAATGCAATCAGGGACAAAGAAATTAAAACATAACACTATAATTACCGTATTTCATTGAATGTAAGATGCCATAAGTTCTAAGATGCAGCAAACACAGTAGGGGGTTACCAGATGATCATGTCTAAACACTAAGATCTCTGTTTTTTCCATATTAAGATAGTGAGTGGTGATCTCGAAAAAAAATTCCACACATTGG